TCCCTCACAAAGGACATCTTAAATTAAGTACAGGTTGATATAGATGATCTGAGGGCCATTCCAACTTTAGGAGTGTATGATTCTAGTGGGTCAGTCAGCAGGATTTTATTAAGTGATTTTTACATGACAGGGACTGTGTTAAGTAAGCATTGAGAATACAAGGAAAGGCAGTGCTTTTGGTCTCTGCCTTTAAGGAGCTCACATTCTAATAGCTCTTATCTTGGGTCATAGTGAAGGAGGAATCACATAAAGATACCATAGATTTTTAAAAGTTAGGAGAATGGATAGTTTGAAGGATGAGCCAGTAAACTGTCAGATGCCTGTGATATCAAAGAAGACAAGAAGTGAAGAAATGCTATTGGATTTGGCAAAGAGGAAGTTATTAATGGCTTTCAAGACGGCAGTTTCAGGGGGTAGCTAGGTGGCGCAGTGGATAGAGCACAGGCCCTGGAGTCAGGAGGACCTGCGTTCAAATTTGGCCTCAGAAACATAACACTTAGTAGCTGTGTGACTCTTAACCCCAGTTGTCTCACCAAAAAAAAAAAAAAAGACCCATTTCAAAAAGAAATGGATGATGAAGCCAGATTGCAAAGTTAAGAGAGGTTAGTGAGGAAATGGGAGCTAAAGAAATTGTATATCCCCTTACAGCACAATCATAAGTTAATTATTATACATTTATGTTATAGCAGTAGCTATGTTTTTCATTTTAGAAGTTTAATAGCGAAAGGAAGGGAAAGACTTAGTGACCAGTCATCTGTTGGAGGATTAGATATGGCTCAGTGGTAGAGTATGTGCTCAGCAAATAGTAAAGTATGTTGTATGTTTTAGGTCCTGATCATAAGTGACTTGTCATACAGCTAGAGTTAATGAGTACCTGGGAGAATTTGAACTCATGTTCTTTCTCTGACTCCACATCCAGTTCTGTTTCCACCATGCCTGTTTCTGGCAGATCCAGTTGTTAATGCCTATTTGGACATCTTCAGTACTTAGGGGATCTGTGATTTCATCTGTGCCCATTTGGATTCCTTCTCTGTCTTTGTAGGTGGTTTCATGAGTTGCTGTGGCCAAAAATAAATAAATAAACAAAAAAAAATCACCTGGTGGCTTCTGTTAATATGCCTCTTTGCACCTAGTTGGGCTGGTCATTTGGTGATAGGCACATAATCCATCACTGGGCTTGTACTTAATGTCTTTTTATTGGTGAGTACCAGAGCTTTCACTTGTGCTTGAGGAAAATCATTTCAGCACCTGTGTTGAGGAGAGATTGGACAGGAGAGAACGAAAACCGTTTAGGAGGCTATTGCAGTAGTCCAGGTGAGAGGTGACGGGAACCTGGACTAATGCGGGGATTGTGAATGGACAGAAGGGGAGGAAGGTGAGATGTGTTATGGAGGTAGCATCGATGATACCGGGCAGCTGCTTGAACACATTGGGTGGGGGAGAGTGAGATGTTGGGGCTCACTCTGAGGATGTGAATCTTTCACATCCTGAAGTGGGGTGGTGCCCATGACAGAAATGAGCAAGTTTGGAAGAGAGATGACGTTTTGGGGAAAGAGAATGAGTTTTGTTTTTGTGCATGTCGAGTTTGAGAAGTGGCTAGGACATCTGGTTTGAAATGTCTGGCAGTTGGCGATGCTGGACTGGCGCCCAAGAGAGATTAGTGCTGGCCATATGCATAGATTTGGGAGAGAGAACCCTCAAACTGATGAGGTCATCAAGAGAGTGGGAAAAGAGCTTTGGGGTATGCCCACAATTCGGAGGCTTGATGTGCATGATGAATTAACAAAGGAGACAGAGAAAGAGTGGTCAGATAAGTATGGCGAGAGCTCTGTGATTCAGTGAGAGCCATTCTTAGATAGACATGTAAGTAAGCACTTAATAAGTGCTATCTATGCCAGGCTCCGTGCTAAGCACTGGAGGGTACGGATACAAGCAAGCAAGACCATACTTGTCCTCAAGTGCTTACATTCTAATGGGAGAAAACAATCCATAAAGGGCTGCTGCAGAAAGAGTGGGAGAGGTAACATCCAGGCTGTGCTGTGTTAAATGTTTAATGACTGGCTGTCTGGCAGGAAAAAAGTGGTAGTTTAAGCTCCATCGTTAACATTTTCTCCATTACATAAGTCTAGACAATCAACAGGACAATAAATTGAGCCCTCATTTGTAGCATTTGCCAACTTCTGAGTCGTAAATGGTCACACTGAAAATTTAACAACCTGCTCATTTGATAGAGGTGTATGTGCTTACACTGAAAATTTAATAACCTGCTTGAGCAGGTAGGGGCTGGCTCCAGGATATCCCTGGGTGACATGGTGTATAGAGGGCAAGGAAGTGGTGTTACAGAGGTGGGACAGGGGGAAAGAGAAGGCAAAAGCTCGTCTAACAAAGCCTAGTCCCAAGGGCAGAGAGCAAGGTTCTGATGGGCAGCAGGGAGGAGATAGGGTTAGGATCCCTCCTTGGACAGTAGGATCATGTGAGTAATGGAGGAGGCATGACATTGAGCTTCGGGAAATTGTTTCTGTTTCTCTTTCTTTATACTAAGCCTTGGGTCACATTGGATAGGCACTGTTCTCACTTGGTTTCTGTTTTTTTGTTTTGCCAAAGATTTGCCCTAGAAACGATAGAACAAAAATGGCTTATCAGGAGTTTGCTACCCAAGTTAAGTGAGAAGATAATAAGATGGATTTGAGTCACCTGGCCCAGATGAAGTGTTCTGAAAACAAACAACAAACCGTACTTCGGACTGGCAGATATGATTGGTATCAGGGATATTGGGATGAACATGGAAGACAGAAGAGATACTATGGCACTAAGAAAAGGCAGAATGTCCTAATTTTCAAAAGGGGAAGATTGCAAACTGTAAGCCAGTGAGATTGACTTCCGTTTCTGGGAGTGTTCACGTACAGATCACTAAAGAGATGGTTAGTGAATATCTAGAAAAGGAAGCAGTGATTACAAAGGTGGCTTCATGATTGATTAGCCTTAATTTCTTCTTTTGACACTTTTTACACTGGTAGGTTCAGGAAAATCCTGTAGATAAATTTTACCTGAAAAACATTTAATAAAGAACCTCGTGCTCTTCTTCTGGCAGAAATAGTTATGTTGACTTACATGAATAATACATAATTATCTGGATTTAGAACCAGTCAAATGTCCAGACTCAAAAAAAGCAACCATTAATCATTTGGCAAGGAGACTCTTCATAGATCTTGCCAAGAGTTTGCTTGGCCCTGTGCTGCTTAGCATATTTCTTTATTTATTTCATTTATCTGCCTACCTCACATTTATTTATTCATTTATTTATTTCAGGCAGTGATTTGAATAAAAGCGTAGATGGCATCCTCACTAAATTTGCAAATGAAACAAGACTGAGGGGGATAGCTGACATAAGTGGATGATAGAATCAAGATCCCAAAAGATCTTGACTGGACAGAACACTTTATGCTGAATCTAATAAAATGAAATCAGTAGGTATATATGTAAAGTCTTACATTCAGGTTCAGAAATAAGTACCAGATGGAGGAGCTATGGTAAGGGAGCAATTTGTCTGAAAAGGATCTGGGGTTTTTAGTGGACCACAAGCTCAACATGAGTTAGCAGTGTGATGCGGCGACTGGAAGGCTGTTGTGATCTTAGGCTGAGTAAAGAGAGGAATAGCTTCCAGGAACGAGGTGGATAAGTTCATCTTTATTCTCTCCTGGTCAGGTTACATCTGGAATATTTGTTTAGATCTAGGTATCATCTTGATAGACATTGATAGAATGGATGCTGACAAACCCAAGGGCAGCTACGATACTGAAGGGTCTTGACACTCCATGTGATAAAGAGGATCACTTGGGAGGGAGAGTATTCTGGAGAAGGGAAACTCAGTGGAAGGGGGCATAATGCTTGTCTTCAAGTATGTGAAGGTCTATCTTGTAGAAGAGAGATTATGCTTTCTCTGTTTGATCCTAGAGTGGAACGAGTAATGGGTGGAAGGTGCAAAGAAGCAAATTTAGACTTCATATCTGCACAAAAACCTGTCCAAACTTGGAAGTGGCTATCTCAGGAGGCAGTGGGTTTCCCCTCGTTGTTGTGTTATTTCAGTCATGTCCTACTCTTCATGACTCCGTTTGGAGTTTTCTTGGCAAATATACTCGAGTGGTTTGCCATTTTTTTTCTCTAGCTCATTTTACAAATGACGAGACGGAGGCAGACAGGGTTAAGTGACTTGTCCAGGGCAAATATACTTGAGTGGTTTGCCATTTTTTTTCTCTAGCTTATTTTACAAACGAGGAGACTGAGGCAGACAGGGTTAAGTGACTTGTCCAGGGTCACACAGCTAGTAAGTGTCTGAGGCTAGATTAAAATTCAGGAAGATGAATCTATCCACTGTGCCACCAGCTGCCTCTCATTGTAGGTCTTCAGACATTGGATGACCACCTGCCAGGTGTGTTATAGTAAGGATTCTTTTTCTTGTAAAAGTTGGGCTAACTGACTGCTAAAGCCAACTCTGAAATTCCTCTTGTGTCTGCTTTATCCTTTACAAAATGGGGACAGTTCTTGGGGAATTATAAATATAGATAAATGAGTTAAGGCTCTTAGAATACAAGGAGCCTGTTAAAAGAAGGCACAAATAAAATAGCTATCATTAGTTTTGGAAAAAGCTCAAAACTCTTTCCAAAAACGATCAGTAAGTTAGTTTTCTCTATAATACCTACACTGAAATGAGGTGATTTAGGTTTGTGATATGCTTTGGTTTATATCTAGAAAAGCTAGGGTATTAGAAGGATGAACATAACAGCATGCTTATTACCATCATAAATTTTGAGTTGCTCCCGAGTGATTTATGGGACAAAGGAAAAACAGATCCTTATCTTCCAAATCTAAGCACTACATGAAAGGCTTAGAATCAATACATGAAAGGCTTAAAATTCCATCTTGGAACCTTGCCTCCTTGCCCTTTCTTGGTGACAGTTGCTGGACATGGCTTCAGTTGTTTTTCTCACTTTCCTCTCTAGTGCAGAAGGCAGAATGGCGAGTGTGTTGTCACGGCGCCTTGGCAAGCGCTCCCTCCTGGGAGCCCGAGTGTCTGTCCCCAGTGCCTCTGGAGATGGCTTAGCAGCGGCAGTCCAGCCCTCAGGTTCCCATGCTGAGCTGATGGGGGTGGTTGCCCCTCAGCCCTTCCCTGTCTACAAGGACAACCACTGCCAGGAACATCCTAAGGAGATCCTAATGGCGCCCGGTGTCCCAGGTCTGCAGCAGGTGGTGTTTCAGCCAGGGCAGAAGGTAAGTCAGGGCACAGTGTGAATGGGAGTGTATTTCTGTCCCTTTAGGCTTGGAGTTGGAAGACTCAGAATCCTTACTCTCAATTTTGGGATAAGATTGGGTACAGAGAGACAAGTGTCACGGATACTGTTTTTCTCTCAAACCACTCATTTCTGATCTCTCCTATATTGGTCATAAGAGAGGCAGACCTTCTTTACAGTATACGATGATCTCCTGGTTCTGCTCACTTTACTTTGCATCCATTCATGTGAGTTTTCCCAGGTTTTTCTGAAACCATCTCCCTCATCATTTCTTATAGCATAGACTCCATCACAATCATATACCACAACTTATTTAGCCATACCCCAATTGATGAACATCCCCTCAATTTCCGATTCTTTGCCGCTATGAAAAGACCTACAAATATTTTTGTACATATTAGGTCTTTTCCTTTGATCTCTTTGGGATATACAGACCTAGAAGTGGTATTGCTTGGTCAAAGGGTATGCACAATTTGATAGCCCTTTGGGCATAGTTCCAAATGGTTCTCCAGAATTGTTGAACCATTTCACAACTCCACTAACATTCCTATTTTCTCACATCCCCCATAAAAAGAATTTTAGAACCTAAGTCATAGGGTGTTTGTACAACAGACCTTCTGCTGCCTGTGGGTACACCATGGTATAATCCTTAATACCTCTTGCCACTCTGTTGAAGGAAGTGCTCCCAAAAGCCACTGACTTTAGGCCGATCCAGAGTTCACAGAGGCTAGTGAAGTGAGTGGTGTTTATCTTAAATGTTTGCAGAGCCTAGTTGGTGTATATATTTGGTACAGGAGCCAGCAACCTTTAAAAATTAGATACCAGGGTTTTCTTTCATGCTTTTTTTTCTTCACTGGGAGTCATTGTGTACCAAATGGAGTTTTAAAGTTGGACTAGAGTAACACTGACTCATTGTGGGTGGTCCTTCAGCAGGGGGCTGTGGTGGATAGACATAAAGAAAGCAGCTTAGATTGATGTTGGAAGCTGGGATGGGGGTGAATGGCAGTCCCTGTCCTGCCTCAAGGGCCCTCATGATGCAGATCGCTAACCCCAACTTGAGTATATCAAGTCTGTATCTGACCTTGCCCTTGGAGGCTTTGGGTAGGAGTCGAACCTCGCTGCTTTCTCTGTTATATTTCGACTTTTCCTTCCTCTTCTTTGGTGCTCTGGGTAAGGTTATATGTAGTGGGAGTTTTTTATGCTACATGCATCTTGAGGTAAGTGATTGGCTGGATGACTCCTCTCCTGTGTTGTCAGCATGCTTCGGTCTTCCAATGCCACGTGCTCTTTTGGGGGGTGGGGTGGGGAGGGGAAGATACAACCACTTTTGGAATCAAGGGGCAAGTGCCAGTTGATTTGGGGAGAAATCTGGTCTTGAAGTTTGTTCTTGGGTTTTTTTTTTTAATGGTTACTTTGAAATCAGTGTTTTGTCATTCAGGAACCATGGACAGCAGCAGGTGAGGCTCTAGGACTGGATGGAATTTGGGAATGTAGCCTAAAGGTTGCGTACCCCTAGTAGAGCAGACCTAGAGTAGAGATCAGAAGCCATTAAGTCAGAACCAAGTGAGCCGTCTCAACCCAGAGATGACTTGTTAGAGGCAGCATGCTGAGCGTGCTGTGTAGTGGACGAAGTATTGGCCTGGGAGTCTGGATCGACCAGAGTTCAGATTCCACCTCTGACAGTAACAGCTGTTTGACTGTGGGCTTAATTTCCATGAGTGTCCATTTCTCTCTCTGTAAAATAGAGATAATTCCTTTACTGATGACCTCACAGGGTTGTTAGGAATATTAGGTGGAATTAATGCATGTAAAGTGATTTGTGAAGTTTAAAAGTGCTAGGAAGATGTCTCCATTTTCATTCTCCCTCTGTCATCTTCCTTTTCTTTTTTTTTCTTTTTCTTTTTTTTTGGTGAGGCAATCAGGGTTAAGTGACTTGCCCAGGGTCACACAGCTAGGGAGTGTCAAGTGTCTGAGGACAGATTTGAACTCAGGTCCTCTTGACCCCAGGCCCGGTGCTCTATCTACTGCATCACCTAGCACCCCCTCCCCCCACAGTCATCTAAATGGAGAGTAGGTAGGCTATAGGTGTGGAATAATGTAACCAATGGGGTTTTTTGCTTAGCTATATTTACTTATTATGAAGAGGGATTTTTCTGTTAGGGAGAGGAAGGAAGGCCAGAGAAGGGTTGTTGGGAACTGACAATGAGGTTTTTTTGTTTTTTCTTTTTGAAAAAACATCAATAAAGCACTTATTTTTTTTTGGACACTTATTTATTTGCTCTTTGGATTTTAAGGACACATAACTAAGATAATTCCCTGCCTTAACTTAAAACTTTTATGTGGTTTCTGTTGAGACAAGAACTAATGTTGCATTTTCAGCCTGGGCCCTGCAGGTGGGCACAGATGATTGGGGACCCCTGGCTAAAGGGAAAGGTGTGGGCATGGGGAAGCAGCAGCAATTTCTGGCAGACCTTGGGGGTGTTAGCACCCTAGGAGGAGACCTGTGAGACACTGACCATGGGATTCCCTTTTTCTTTCTCCTTTTCCCAGGTCTGTGTGTGGTATGGGGGCCAGGAGTGTACAGGAGTGGTGGAGCAGCACAGCTGGGCAGAAGATAAGGTGACGGTTCTGCTGCTGGACCAGAAATTGCAGATCTGCTGCAAATCAGAGGAGGTGTGGCTGCCGGAGCTGAAGGGTTCTGTGCCTCAACTGCCACCAGCCATGGAACAGGCAGCTCCTGCTACAGTGTACAGATCCGTCTCCAGGAATATTGATGTCCCGAAGAGGTTTGTATGGGAAGGCACTGGGTCCCTGAATGTGTGCGTAGCTCTCTGTGTGATGGGTACTCTCAGTTAGAAGGGCTCTGGTTATAGTGACGAGAATTGAAGGGATTCCCTCTAGACAGGGCCTTGTCTACTGGGGATGGGGTGCCTTTTGTAGGGGTTAGTATTTCGACAGGCCCCAAATTTTAGGGATGGGAGGCTAGCTCAGGGCTCTCTTTCTCTCTCTCACTCAGTTTTAATTTGGGGGAATTTTAATTTTGGACTCTTTTCCTATAAGTTAACAATAATAATAATAATAGCCAGCATTTGTGTAACCCTTTTTAAGATTTGCAAAGTGCTTTATGTATTTTATCTTATTTGAGTCTCATAACTGTGTGAAGTAGGTAACTGTTATTACACTCATTTTATAGCTGAGGAACAGTGAGGCTGAAAGAACTTAAGTGACTTGTTCAGGGTCCCAGAGCTAGTAAATATCTGCAACAGGATTCGAAATCGGGTCTTCCTGACTCCAAGTCCAGCATTTTGTCTCCAGCACCATATTGCTGCCCTGGGATGCTTACCTCACTGTAAAGAGGGCCGAGTAAGTGAGTACTTTATTGTGGTCTTCGTTGAGAGGAGGGAGACACTCACCATGCCTCTGGGTTCTTTGCTTGCCCTTCTCACCTCCATCTATCAATTTTCTGCCTCGGTAAAGAAGAATGCAGTGATATAGATGATCCCAAGCATCATAGAATTGAAAGATCCTTAGTACTTAGCTTCAGGGCAGCTAGGTGGTGCAATGGGTGGAGTGCTGGACCTGGAGTCAGACACTTGCTAGCTGTGTGGCCCTGGGCAGGCCATTTAATCCTCAGTTTCCTCATCTGTAAAATGAGCTAGAGAAGGAAATGGCAATCCACTGCAGTGGGTCACTCCAAATGGGGTCACCAAGAGTCAGATACTACTGAAAAAACTGAACAGCAGCTTAGCTTTGGGTTTTATGGCGTGATTTCCTTCCCCCAGGACTCCAAAAGATTTACCTTTTTAATTGCCACATATTGTAGTATAAGTAGACCTATCAAGGTTAAGCAAATAAAAACCCTCCCCTCTTTGGGACTGATATATGGACAGCAGTGGCCTACCTACCTCATCTCTCTTTGTGCTCTTAGCAGGAGCTGGTTGGTAAGATGGACTCTTACTGCCTTGTTTTCAGCAGCTGTTAATATTCAGTTTATATTTGGCTCTTAGTGGTATTTGCCATAATTTTGTGTAGTCATAGTGGCAGCTATGTGGTGCAGTGGGTGGAGTGCCAGACCTGGAGTTAGGAAGACCTGAGTTCAAATCCAGTGTCAGACACTTACTAGCTGTGTGACCCTGGGCAAGTCACTCAGCTTCTCTCTGTTTGCTTCAGTTTCCCTAATTGTCAAATTGGGTAAATAATAACACCTAACTTGCAGGGTTGTTGTGAGGCTCAAATGAGGTTTTACTCATAGAGCACATAACCACAGGGCCTGGCTCACAGTAGGTGCTATATAAATGCTTATTCCCCTTCCCTCTAGTTTGTAGTTTCTTTTCATCAGATTTGCAGGTGATGATTTTCCATGAAATTAAATGTTTGGGGTTTTCCTCTGAGAAATAGTACAGTAGGAAGAACATTGACTCTGGGGTTAGAGATCCTGGGTTCAAATCTCAATTCTGGGGGACAGCAAGGTGGCGCAGTGGATAGAGCACTGGCCCTGGAGTCAGGAGGACCTGAATTCAAATCTGGCCTCAGACACATTAACACTCACTAGCTGTGTGACCCTGGGCAAGTCACTTAACCCCATTGCCTACCAAAAAAACCAAAAACAAATCTCAGTTCTGACAGTACCTACATTTGTGACCTTCTGCAAATCATTTAGTCTCTCTGGACCTTAGTTTCCTCACCTGTAAAATGGGGGGATTGGGTTTGATGGCCTCTGAGTTCCCTTCCAGCTCTCAGTTAATGATTCTGTCATGTTAAGTGACAACTTAGCTGCTTCAGGTGCTATTAAATACTTAGTTTGATGTACCTGGGTGTTAGCAAGTAAAAGGCATATTGTTTATTACTTTATATAGCAATTCTTGTTACTTTTGCCTGTCACATTACCTTGTAAGCTGAGATTTACCATTCCTGGTGTGAATGGGAGAGAAAAAAAACTTTCCTCATATTCTTTTCTAAAGCAGAATTTTAGAAACCTTTTGGCACTACCAGGCAATGCTGTGATGTTTGGGACTTAAATTTGGTGACAAAACAGTAGATGTGGACTAGTATTCAGTAGATTTTTTTTTTGCCTAGACTTTTGTGGGGAATGCCTAGTATGGAAACTCTTCATTCACCCATATTGTCAGCTCATCTATAATTTCAATTTCCTTGGGCATTGAGAGGTTAAGCTGTGGATCCGTGGTCAGCTAGTATGTGTCAGAAATAGGATGTGAATCCAAATTTTCCTGGAGTCTAAGGCTGATAGCTTCTCATTCAGTAGATATAAATGGGTGAATAAAAAAACATTCATTAAGTGCTTACCTCTGCAAAGCACTGTGCTAATTACTGGAGATACAAGTGGAAAAATGAGCTCACATTCTAATAGACAACCCATAAGAGTCCTAGGGGGCAGCAGGAAGATGCTATGGCTTACTGATCCTTAGGATGTAGTATCAGCACAGATGGAAATGCCTGGGACTTTGGAGGACTCAGAAACAGGGCTGCTGGGAAGACCCTGTGATCCAGATGGAAAGTAATCCAGTTTGACTAGAGTGGAAAGGGGAGAAGACTAATATAGAAGCGCATCTTTTTGAATGTCATTTTGATTAAGAAGGTCATATTCATTTCTGATATTGAACCATTTGACAGTGCCAAGGACTTTGGTGGTGAAAACTTTCTTTTTCAGGTCTTCGGTATCTGGCTACTGAGGAGGTAGGGGCTATTATGTTAGCAGAGACAGCTCTTACAGTCTCGAGATGTCTCTACTGGAATTGCTTGCTTCCCTGGATGATGGTGGCAGGATCAGACTAGAGGTGGGAGATACTGTTAGTCACAGGATTGTTGGGCATATAAAGTCCTAGGTAGTGTCTCCATGGGGCCCTGAGACAATGTGTCAAGGGTAGTAATTTGATTTTCTTTCATGTAGCAATGAAAGAAAAATTTTAATTATATAACAAGGTGCTAATGTTAACTTCTTGCCATAAACTGTCGTTTTTTTTGGTGAAATGAAATCAAGGCGGATCTCTCATCAGATACAGGAATTCTGGAATGCTTTCCAGAAGTTTATTTCAAAAGATGTCTTTTTTTTTCTTTTGTGGTAATTTCAGCATTAACTCATGCCTCTAATTTTATTCTCAAACAACTCAAATTTATTTTTGAAAGAGTTTTGTAGAACTCTCAAGGTTTTGCCAGTGTGGAAGAACTTGATCATTGAAGTTTGGTTTAAGGAATTTTTATTTAAAGATCTTGAAATGTCTTTAGTTTATGGGGCTGTTGTCCTAGGAAATAGGTCCTATTGACGTTCACAAGGTGACAGTTTGCTTGTTTGGTTTCTTTGTGAGGATAAGGCTGGTTTGTAAGTATGGCGTAGAACCTACCCCTTCTTAAAAAGGCATAGACAGATGATTTGAATATCTAAGTTATATAGGCTTCTTTGTCATCTTATTTTTCGTCGTTCTTAGTCTGTTTTTGTCTCTGAATCAATTACCGTATATTGTATAGTAGAAAGAAGATCAGATTGGGATTCAAGAAGACCTAGGTTCATATCCTACCTATGACCCTTATTAGTCCATTCACTTTACCAGCCTAAGCCTCAGTTTCCACATCTGTAAAATGGCAGTAATACTTGCAGCACTAGGTTATCTTTTTTATTTGTTTAAAGACTGGCTCTCCCTAGCTCACCCATGCTGTAAGTTCACAGGCCTTAATCCCACTCTGATCTGTGTAGAAGCTTTGACCTTTTCTGTTTCTGACATGGACTGATTTGCTCCTTCATTAGGCAACCTTGGTGAGCTCCCCTTCCTCTCCCAGGGGCTCACTGTATTAAAGCCAGACTTGGTTTTGACACTCTGTTGCCATAATCCACATAGCTCAGAACTGAGCTCAAGAGTGTTGGGGATCTGTAAGGATGTAGAGGGCCACAGGCTGTTCAAGAGGTCTCACTGATGGGTGAAGGCGCCCAGCGTTTGTTGTGCACTAGCTCACTTGGCTATAGAGCCTACCTAGGGCCTAGGATTTCCCAATCACCTGATGAATCAAGACCAGCTTGATTTTCTATCTCGAATGTGCATTGATGAAGCGGGAGGCAGGATGGAAGCAACTCCGTTTATTTTTAGCAAAGCGCTTACTTATATAGTAAAATAACAGGAGCTCTTTCTCAAGTTACAATGACGTATAGGCCATGCTGTGCTCAAAGGCAGTGCGTGCACGTCATGTGCACTTATCTGACTCCAATCCCAGAATCGACTGCTAATGACCATACAATAACCAGGAGAGTTAAAGATTGTTACGGATCCATACAATGGAGCACCGAACCAGGCAAGCGACCTTTGCTCAAAGATCAGCACCCGAGAGGGGCCTTCACCCATCAGTGAGACCTCTTGAACAGCCTGTGGCCCTCTACATCCTACAGATCCCCAACAAAGAGATGTGTCAACCTCCAGGAGCTGGATTTACAGCTGTGTCGCCCATGCCAGAGGAGACTACTTTGAAACTTTGAATAAGATAATGTGTGTAAAGAACTTTGGAAACCTTCAACAGACTATATAGGGTTGATTGTTGTTAATGATAATGATTGAGCAGCTAAGTGGTGAAGTGGATAGAGTGCTGGGCCTGGAGTCAGGAAGCACTGAGTTCAAATGCAGCCTCAGACACTTACTACCTGTGCGACCTAGAGCAAGTTACTTGACCCTGTTTTCCTCAGTTTTCTCATCTGTGAAATGAGCTGGAGAAGGAAATGACAGACTACTCCAGTATCTTTGCCAAGAAAACCCTGAATGCAGAGTCAGATGCAACTGAATAACAACAATGATAATGATATTCTAGTTTGGGTTTAATCCTGGTTTATTCCCTTGCTTTGTGTCTCTGAGTAAGTCATTTAGCCTGTTTCCCCACCTATTAAATAAGGGGATTATATTGGATAGATGACCTGTACATGTTCTTCCATAAACAGGAGATTGACCTGGGCTCAGGCAAGTTACTTGGGATTGGTCTGAAGTTTGCACTTGAGTTTACTTACATTAGTAATAAAACTCACAACGTGGTAGTTTTTTTTTTACTTTATTTAGACTTTTTTTGTGTATTTCTAGATTTTAATTGATTCAAAGGTGTTGGAAAATTCTGACAAAATACAGCAATACATGTTAAAATTATATGTTATGCTAAAGCAGTATTTATACCAGGAATATAAAGACAGCAATATTAGAAAACCGATGAGCATAATCAATTAAATGAACAAAGCTTACTTCAATGGATCTATAATCATATAGGGTATTCCATTGAATGATGCATTTCAACCTATCCACATCTTCCTATCCCATGTGATTTTTAAAACATTTATTTATTTTTAGTTTTCAGCATTCACTTCCATAAGATGTTGAGTTTTAAATTTTCTCCTCATCTCTCCTTTTCCCCTACCCCACAACATGATTTTTTTTTTTAAAATAGAAATCTGATCTGTGTGCTTTACATGTCTTTATATGTCAAACCTTGTTATATGTTACGGGCAGCTAGGAGTCATAGAGGATAGAGCAGTGGCCCCGGAGTCAGGAAGAGCTGAGCTCCACTGTGGTCTCAGATACTGACTAGCAGTATGGCCCTAGGCAAGTCACTGAACCTCTGTCTGCCTCAGTTTCCTCATTTGTAAAATGAGGAGAATAATAGCACCTACCTCTCAGGCTTGTTCTGAGAAGCAATTGAGAAAATATTTGCAAAGTGTGTAGCACAGTGGCTGTCAAAAAGTCAGAGCTTAACAAATGCTTGTTCCCTTTCCACCTCCCCCCTGCTTTGGGTCGTCTTCCTTGAGGACCCAGTAATGTTGCAGGATGTATCCCAGAATCGTAGGATTGCAGTGATCTACAGAGTGGATAACACACATGCAAAGTCATCAGGAGAACATGGTGGTTATGTAGGCTCATGGATTTTTTTTGGGCCGTCTTAATCCTTACCTCTCCCTCTGTTTGCATTTAGGAAGTCAGATGCAGTGGAGATGGATGAGATGATGGCGGCCATGGTCTTGACCACGTTGTCTTGCAGTCCAGTAGTGCAAAGTCCTCCTGGCATTGAGTGCAATTTACCTGGTGAGTCTTGCTAAACCCCAAGAAAAATACTGAGTGGGTATCTGGTTTGGAGGCGGCCCCTTAAACTTAACATTTTTTTAGCAGCTGTATGCAAGGAACACTGGCCTTGGACATCAGGATTCCTGGATTCTGTTCTCAGTCGCATTCCACCTCATTCTTTCTGAGTGACCCTGTGTTAGTTGCCTCCCTTCTCTTTTCTTAGTTTCCTCACCTGGGGAGGAGGATCCTGGAGCATTTTGAAGATGAATGAGAGCATTGGACAGAGTCTCACTCACTGGCCAGATGAGTAAGTTCCTCCTTGGGAGTAAGTTAGGCACTTGTGGGGAGCTTGAACTAGGCCAGTACAGGGATATTCTGTTTGCTAGGAAAATAGCATGTGAGTGGCCTCCAAACGTTCATGCCCCTCTCCAAGTGTCTTAATTCAGCCTTGTAAACTAGGACAAGCCTACAGGGCCAGACCCCAAAAGATATTAAGTTAAGCCTCAACTCAGTCCCAGTCACGGGCAAGAAAATATTTTAATAGAAAGTAAAAATGTGACCTCACAGCAAACTGATTTCTCTTTCTGAATGCTTTTGGCACTATTTGAAACATGCTGTTGCCATTACTGTGATGAATATTAGTAGTTTGATCAAATTTGTTGTGTGGGCCTGAAGGTTTTTAAATTAACTTGTAGGGCTGGCCTGAAACTTACTCCCAGGGAACAACTTTACTTACTGGCATAGTCCATCTAACATAATTATCAATTATTCTGAGTTTTGTGGGGGAAATACGACATTTTTGGTAAGAAAAAAAATTACGTTTATGTAATTGATTAATTTATCAGTTACTTTTAAAAAAATACTGCTTTAATATTTAAGTGTTTTAAGTCTTCCTCAATATCAAGGAAGAGACTGATGTACATAATTTAGTCAGTGGAATGTCATTTGCTGGCTCTGTGAGCACATCTTAAGTACTTCAACAAGTGGAAGAATGTAGCCAGATTTCTGAACCTGCAACACACACACACACACACACACTCGCGCGTGCACACACGTGCGCATGTGTGTGTATGTATATATATTCGTGTTCATATTTCATATATTTGCATATATGTGCACATGTATGCATATATGCTATAATGCAGAAATAGAAATTAAAATATAATAAATATTATGATGTAAGTATTGTATACTATCATATAACATAAACATATAAAATTAAAACATAAATATAATATATGACACAAAACATATACATAATGTTTATATATTATGCATGTGTATATAGAGTGTATATATACACGTGTGTGTGTGTGTGTTTGTGTGTGTGTGTAAATGTAAATGTGTTTTTCCCAGTGATGGTGGCAAGGCCCTTAAAGTATTAGTACAAAGGGACCTACATAGGATTTTAACTCTACCACTGAATCTGCCAAGGTTAGCCAAAGGCAGAGGAGAGAGTCTCAGGAAATTGGTGCAAAGGGAAAGTGGACTGTTATAAAGACATCAAGTCCAGCCAGTTCATTGTATCCCAACTGGCACCATTCCATCCGTCATCTTACCTCTTTATCTGAAATGTTTTAAGCTTTTTCTCTCAAGGAATTAACTTATTTTTAAAATCAGAACAAATGGCTGATTATCGTTGGAATAAGTGAGAAAATAGCATTTACTTGATAGCTAATGCATTATAGAGTAAGGTATATTTTGACAACCTTCTCTAAAATTGGGCGCTATTTAAAAATATTAAGGTTACTCTTGGCTTTTTTCTTGAGGATTGCTATGTAAGCATTGATTTTTGTATAGAAAGGGGAAGAAGTAAGAGTTACTGTTCAGTTAGTGGCAATAGAAATTGTGTAGAAAACAGAGTCTTGCCCCACGTGTGTTGAGTGTGATCACATAAAAGGCAGCACTAGTTTTTGCAGGTTTTCAATACTTAGCACATAGCACCTAAAAAATACTTATTCAGGGGCATTTAGGCAGTGCAGTGGATAGAGCAATGACTCTGGAGTCAGGAGGACCTGAATTCAAATCCGGTCTCAGACACTTACTAGCAGTGTGTCCCTGGGCAAGTCACTTAATCCCGATTGCCTCAAAAAAAAATGCTTATTCATTCATTGATAAAGTCTTAAAACTGTACTGATGATACAGAACATACACATACTTGGTCCTGGCTTTTAAAGAACCTTCTAAGGTGACATGAAATGCATATGTTATCTACATAATAGAAGCAGAGATTAATTTTTGGTTTTAATTTTTCACATTTTTTGAAAAATACATTTTGTCTCCTTAAAAAATTTTGAGTTACTTCAAGTGAATACAGTTGGGAAGAGCAACTGTATGTGGAGGATTTGTGGGTCAAAGTTTGCTTAGATCTTGACTTGTTTTTATTTTTATCCCTAATTCCTGACCCAGACCCTTTCTGTGGTTCCTAAATCTTGCCTGATGGTGCCATTCAGGATTAAACTCTGTACATGCTTCCTGATGTTTGGCTTAAACCGTGAGTCAATATTTGAGCTTTTTCTAGTTCAGGGATCAGGTGGCTTTGGAACTCCCATGTTGTAGTGGGTTATGATTGCTTCAAGGTCTAAAAATTTGGAAACATGACTCATTTACTCAGCGTGCATTTTTCCTGCAGGAGGTGAGATTTGAGGAAAGTCTTGACTAGGAAGCTGTTTTAGGTATATGGGACAAAAGAGTGGGATAAAAGCAGGAATGTGTTGCTACCACAAATGTCGTGACAGTGTGCTTTGAAAACCCACTGTGAGAAGGTCTAACGTAATGTTAATGGCAATAGAAGAGCTGAGAGAAGTCTTTCCAAAGTTTTATTGTACAGGACACTTGGTAACTGTAAGATTCTTATTTCCTGCCTCATTTGAAAAGTAAGCCTGTGTCTGAGCTTTTCAGACATACGTTCTATGTATTGCAACTCTGCAAGTTATCCTGAGCCAAGCATTTGAAAGAAATTGGACCGTCCCTAAAACAAGTGACAGGCAAAGGTGTTAATAAAAACTGAAGGTGCAACCCGCACATTGGCATCGCATTTCTTCAAAGACTGGTGGTGTTTGTCACCTGCTTTCTCTCACTGTCTCTGAGTAGTAGAGAATCGATAGAGAAAACTTTTGCAATCCTCAAATTTTCCCAGGTGAATGTCACATCATCTGAGATAGCATGTGGTAGACTTTCCATATGGTGCTGGTCTTCAATATTACTGTCTCCATGGGACATAGTTACTTTTTTCTTAATTTCCTGTTTCTTCCATGTCACCTGCTGCTTCTTTGTTAGTCAAGACTAAGCCCAGAACAGTAATAACCTTCATTGTTGCTTCACCTTTATTGTTAATTTTGTCTGTCAGAATGGGAAGTCAGGAATCTCAGATACTCTGCTTGGAGCAAAATTCTGTTTGCAGAAGATAGCCAGAGAGTTAAAGCCCCTTTGGCTAGTATGTCTTACCTCTTGGCCAGTTTTATAATCTGTATTAGGAAAGTGTTGCTGATGTTTTCTGTGTCTGGGCAGTCCTACAATATTTTCACACAACATTATCAAAGGGTTTGAGCTAGAAGGGACTACAGAAGTCATCCTACCTCAGCCCCCTCATTTTACAGTTGAAGAAACTAAGGCTCAGAGAGGTTGTGTTTTGCCTATAGTCCCGGATATGAAACATCAGAAGTGAGACTTGAATCTGATTCCATGTCCCTTCCATCATGCCACAGTGGACCATCCCATGTTTCCCACTGTGCCTCCTCTATCAAGTTTGTCTATTTAGGTCAATGCCTTCTTTAGATACAATGCTTCTACATCTATTCTTATCTTAAACATATTTTTGAAACAAAATGTACCCTTTACTTTGCTGTATTGCAGTCATGAGTCCTTTCCTATCACCTAATGATATAATAATAACCTATTTTTGCTTTGTTGTCTATACTCTGTATTAGCATGTAGAAATTAGAAGTGATGAGTATTTAGTGCAAATAACTTACTTCTTGTTTTCACCTGAAAATTTTTTGGTACATTGAGTTGCTTTATTCTTTATCACATATTTATAGTATTGTTTGGAACAGTTTTATTTAGACATTTTTCTCCCTCTTCTCTTTGTGTCCCAAAGTTTACTTTAAAGTTATCTTGACCAGATTGTCAAATCTTTTGCTAACTGCATTATTCCCAGTATTGATGAACTATATTCCATTCTTCATCAGGAGCCATTAATGGCATCCTAGACCAAATATTCTTCTGACACCATTTATGTAGTCAGCTGTTCACTTCCCATATCATGCTTTCTTTTTCAGTTATGACCTTGAGCTTGAAGAGGTAAAAATACTACCTGCTTCCCTATGTCTTTCTCATTTTTTATGTAGGACTTCCAAGGAAGGAAGGGAGAAAGGAAACAAACAAGCATTTATTAAGCCCTTACTCTGTTCCAGGCACTGTGAACAAGCCAAAAGAAAGTCATCAAAGATCATTTTTGCATTTTTTTCTTGATGATAGCAGTTTTTTCCTACATGAATCAGAGGAAGCAGGTAGTGTTGGGTGGATTTGAGGAATCTTGGCAAGGTGTCTTCCACGTTTGGATACTCACCCTGGGAAGACAGTACGCCTCCTCGTCAGCCACATTGGCTTCAGAAACAGCTGCTTCTCAATGTCTTAAAGGTGGGACGTTCCATCTGTTTCTCTTGGGGGCGGTAACGATTTCTCCCACTTGCCAATGCTTCCTTAGTGTGATGTGTCCCATAGGGCAGGGCTTTTTCAGAATGCTTATTTATAAACACCTTTTCATAAGGAGAGTCTCACGTCAGTTGTAGAGTTCTCTCCAGAGGCAAGATTTACTTTCTTTTGTCTTTACATTCATGTCCTCTCCTTAAACCATTACTTTTTATTGATCAGAATCAGAACCAGAATATCACTTTTTCTGGATAATAACATCTACCACCTTTTGAAGAATTTTTAAAGCTGTCTTACTTTGGCAGTTAAAGCCAGCCCTCAGAAGATAAAGCACAGCTTAGTCAACTGTGTCGTCTCATAACTGAGTTTGGACCTGAGAGCTATGCACTCTCTCCTTTCCTTTCACTCTTCTCTCCGTGCCCTTCATTCTTTGCTACCTGTAGAACTTGGCTTTTATAATAATAGCCAACCAATGAGAACATGTCTGTCTTCTTGTCGGTTAATTGATCAGCTGTATGAGACTTTTCCTGAAGCCTCTCTGAAATTGCCTATGTCTACTTTGCATGGATTTTGTATCTCCTTATATGTGTATGTGGTTTTCCCCTTAATAGATTATAAGTTGTTTAAGGGCAGAGGGAGTTTTCATTTTTACTTAACATCTGGCATATGGTAGGAGCTTAATAAATGCTTGTTGATTGATTGAACTTTGAATCGTCAGCTATTCTTAGTGGTCCAAGATTTCCAAGTCTTCCATGTTGCTAGGTACTTGAGGGTACCTATATATTCCTGTTTCTTGGATGGTGGAGGTTTTACCATTTTAGTACAAAGGACGGTGGAATCAGTTTTTATTTGCATGGGTTCTTAACTTGGGGTCTGTGAAATTTTTGTCCTCGTATATAAAATGGAAATAATAATACCTGCAGAATTTGCCTCATTGGGTTGTTGTGGAGATCAAATGGGATAGTAAATGTAAAACATTGAAAAATTTAAAGTGCTGTAGAAATGTCAGTAGTTGTTATGAATAGTAAAAATAATGGTATTCACCTTGGCTTTGATGAGAACTTGAATTGCCTGTAAATGATTAGCCCTTGGTAAACTACCTTTATATTTCGGAAATATTTGTGATCTTTGTGTGTGTGTGTGTGTGTGTGTGTGTGAGTGTGAGTGTGATCGTTCTTTTCAAGATACCCCAGTTGTGAAAACGATAACTTGATGTTTCCATTTTGCCTTAGGTGGGAAGGATGCTTATGTGGTAACATTCCCCAGGTGGTACCACTCTGCATTTTAATTCTGTGCTTTCATTCATCCCCATATTTACCCTTAGGGACCTGTAGAGGTCAGGGATGATTCTCCCAGCTTTACTGGGACTCAGAGAGGTAGGTGGCTTTCCTGGAAGATGCAGTAAGCCAGTGTCATAAATGAGAACCAGATCTAGAAACCTGGCCTTCTGGGCTAGGACTCATTGTCACTTTGTCCTTGCCACCCAGTGCTTTGGGCTTTATTGATTGGGGCAACCTGTAGAACGTACATGTGGCAAAGAGTAAGCTGTTTCTGTCTGGCACAGAGGTGGATGTTCTGCCAGTTCCCAGGTATCCTGTGGGAGGACCGTGCCTACAATCCCTTAGGGCTGTCATCTTCTCTCCCTTCCTGTGCAGCATCTCGAACAGCTTGTGACCTGTGGAAGGAGAGTGGGGATGTGTCAGACAGTGGCAGCAGCACCACCAGTGGGCGCTGGAGTGGAGGCAGTGGAATCTCCACTCCATCTCCTCCCCACCCGCAAGCAAGCCCCAAATATTCCAGTGAGGCCTTTGGCTCACCAAAAGCTGACCATGGTTTTGAGACGGACCCTGATCCTTTCCTGATGGATGAGCCAGCCCCACGAAAGAGAAAGGTATCGTGTGTGTGTGTGTGCGCGCGCGCGTGTGTGTGTGTGAGAGAGAGAGAGAGAGAGAGAGTGAGAGAGAGAGAGAGAGAGAGGGAGATGGGCTAGAATTATCTCTGTATTAAATTGGTCCTAGAGAAAAAGATATAACAGATGGGCCTGGCATATATTAAATATTGTTTGCCTTGGACAACCCTTCTTTGATTTTCAGAAAATAAATCTTTGTTTAACTTTCCCATTTTTATTTCTCATTTTCCAGTCCCCTTCTTCTTTAAGTTTTTTTAAAAAACATTATTATTTATTTTTAACAGTAATTTTTTTAAAATTCGAGTTCCAAATTCTCTCCTTCCTCCCCCTCCCACCCCTCCCCTGCCCATTGAGAAGGCAAGAAGTGTAATATCAGTTATACATGTGAAATCATGCAGAAGATAATTTAATTCCCTTTTGCTTTAATGCCAAAAGTTTCCTTAACCTTACAGCCTTCCTAGGACCTCCTCATCCTCTTCTCAGAGCCTTCATCTCCCTATGTGTATCCTTAGGCCCCTGCTCTTAAAGGCAAGGATGGATTGATTTTTTATTTTTTTATCTCCAGTGCCTAGAAGGGAGCTTAAAATGTACCTGTTGTTGATTTGTAGTCTTCACACTAATCTCTGCCTTACTGCTTATACCCCTACATAGAGATTTCTAGTGTGCTTCTCCCCCCCCCCCACGGCATAGCACCAACCATTGCACAAGCCTGTCGGACAAGCCTGGGGCCCAAGCTTTTCAGCAAGCAGTGTTTATGACCCTAAAGAACCTGGTCTTGAAAATGGAGGGGTAGATCAGTACCTTGTACTCTCTCTTAGGTAAGAAAGGGAGTGTAGGGAAAAAGGAGTGTTTCCTAATGCTCAGGGTTTATTTTCTCTCCAGAACTCAGTGAAGGTGATGTATAAGTGTCTGTGGCCAAACTGTGGCAAAGTCCTGCGTTCCATTGTGGGTATCAAGAGGCATGTCAAGACCCTCCACCTGGGGTAAGTCAAGGGGCAGGTTCCAGGTCTTCCCTTGGGCCTCATCCCTCAGGGATTCCTTTTCCTACCTTGAGGTCCTTGTGATTTCTCTATAGCCTTCTGCCCCAGGATGCTTTTGAGAAATTGGTACATCTGCCTTCTTCTCTCTCTTTCCCAGTCCATGCTAAGATTGATTTTTAAAAAAGCTCTTCCTACTCCTAGTGCCCCTTCTTGGAGACTGTCAGAAGCTATTTCCTTCAGTCTTAATGAGGAAAAAAGAAGGAAATTTGCTGAGTGCCTGTATTATTTGTGCTGCATGGACCTCTCATAGATGTCTTTTCTTTCCTTGCTGAATTAAGTTATTTTAACGGTCCCACTTTCTGAGTGGAGGGAGAAGAATTGCTTACGTTTGATAGCTTGTAGCACAGGCTAGTTAAGCCCCATTAGCTGGGTTCTTTGCTGGCCCTTCCTGAGGAAAACTGGGACTCTGTTGACTCTTGACACTTTTAGACCAGGGGAAATGGCCTCCATAGAGAGCTGGGCCAGGCTCGATAGAGCTCCTCGTCATGGTGGAAACCCACTCACAGTTCAGGCCGCCCAGGGCAGTTCTTGTCAGGTGTCAGATGAAGCCTGCGATGAAGAGAGATAAGGGGATTCCCCAAGTATCAGGAGAAACAATTCTTGTTTGACTGCTCTATTGGACTATCAGTTCTTTGAGAGCAGGGGCTGTTTTTGCTTCTCCGGGTGCCTGGCACGCTTGATGACTTGACTGATAGGCTAGGGCAGTGTCATCTGATGGCATTAGACTGGGAGAGGAGATGCCTGGTTTTCCTCTGGTTCTATCCCTGACTTGTTCTGTCACCCCAAGGAAATTATTTCCCTTCCCCACCTCAGGCTTGCCTATTTTGTGGGAAGAGGAGAAGAGGGCTCTTCCTCTACCCGTGGTATTATAGGGTTGGGGGGCTGAAGGTGAAGATGGCTAGTTCCTTCCACCTTTGGAGTCAGTGTAGGGCCCATAGACATCCTTGGTTTGACCTTTGTCTTGCCAGTTTGGGATGTTTCCTCCCTCTTCTTGTAGCCTGTCAGTCTTCTCTTTTCACTCTTCTGTTTCCATCCTCCTGGCAAACTACTGTGACTTTCCCACGTCAGGGATGCAGCTCTCTGCTATCTTAACTTGAATCCTTATGATGCCTCCCTTTCCTTCTTCCAATAGGGACAGTGTGGACTCTGACCAGTGGAAACGAGAAGAGGATTTCTACTACACAGAGGTGCAGATGAAGGAGGAAGCTGCCACTGTGGCGGTTGCTACTCCCACCACTGAGACAGTTCCCATCCAGAGTCTGACCAACCCACCCCTTGCCATCCTACCACCACCCCTGCCCCAGGCAGAGTCATTAGTCCTGGAACACCCTGTCTTGGAACCTTACTTGCCTACTGGTGCTCTCAGCAAGTCGGCCCCTGGTTCCTTTTGGCACATTCAGGCTGACCATGCATACCAGGTATGGTGAATCATAAACTTGGAGTGTTCTTGGGTTGCCTTGAGTGGTCCTGGGCACCTGCGATAGCCATTGGCTCTTGGAAACGTGATTAACGTTTGGGCATTCTGATCTAGAATCTAGTTGACTTAAGGTTTGACCTATTAGCCAAGCTCCTAATCCTTTCCCATAAATAATTCTCCAGAACAATTCAAATTAGTTTATTCTCAGGGGAACCAGGTTGGACTGGGCCCCTGGGGAAGAAAAATTTGCTCACCACTGGGATTTATGTAACAGGTAACATACATAAAACAGTAAATATAGTCAGGATCTCAGGGCAAATCTCTCTTCTTCCCATTCCATCTATAGGGTGTACAGTAAACTCTCCATAATGCCAGTTCATCAGCTGACTTGGAGAAAAGTTATAGACTTTGTCCAAACAACCTCTGTAAAATATGTGGGAAATATACAAAGCAGGGATGTGTTTCATAATTTTTCAATTTTTCTAAATGTTCCAGTCCCTTGGGGTGGCCATGTCTGATTTGTTAGTATTGTCTTGTTTGTCCCTTAGCTGTGCTGGCAATACATGGTGGGGAGACCACAGGGATATGCTAGATTTCAAGAAAGGAAAAGAAATCTATTAGCTTATTAGAATATGTAAATACATATGAACAATCCATCTTCCACATAGCTGCCAAATTGACCATGTCATCACTTATTTCCCAAATTGACCATGTCATCACTTATTTCAACTACTCTGTCTCTGTCTCTCTGTCCTTATTGCTTTTATGATAAAATACAAACTTCTCAGTCTGGTGTTTAAAACTCTCCATAGTATGGCTTCCTGCTTTCCCAGTTATTTCATTAACATTACTTCCCTTCACGAACTTTCCGAGTCAGTGAAGCTGGTCTGTTGGCTGTTCCCCATCGACAGTCTTCTGTCTTCTGCCTTGCTTTCATTTGCCCAAGTGGTCTCTCGTGTCTAGAATGTGTTTCCTCCTTACATCCACTATCTTAGCTTCCCTCAGAGCACAAGACCATGTCACCTCCTACGGAAGGAATTTCCTTAACTCTCCCTGTTATTAGTAGTCTCTCCCTCATGAATTACTTTATATTTACTTCTGTCTATGTAGAATGTTAGGTCGAGGATAGGGATTGTTTCTTTTTTGTCTTTGTACTTCCGCAGTGCCTTGCTTTTTTTTTTTAATTTATTTTTAAGTTCATTTTTTTAATTAATTTATTTTAATTTATCAACAATCACTTCCATAAGCTTTTGAGTTTTAAATTTTTCTTCCCCTCCCCTCTCATCTCCCTCCCCAAGATGGCGTGCAATCTGATATAAGCTATACATACATTCCTATTAAACATGTTTTCACATTAGTGATGTTGTAAGGAAGAATTAGAACCAATAGGAGGAACCACAAGAAAGAGAAAACAAAACAGAAGAAAAAATAGCAAATAGTATGCTTTGATCTGCATTCAAACTCCATAGTTCTTTCTTTGGATGTGGATAGCATTTTCCATCATGAGACCTTTGGAGATGTCTTTGATCCTTGCATTGCTGAGGAGTATCTTGCTTTTTAGTAAGAGCTTAGTAAATGCTTGGGTCTTGTTTTGTTTTTTTTTAAGTTTTTTAAAAAAATATCTTTTGTTTTTGTGCATCACCATAGTTTCCCTCAGTATTCCTCTGCCTGTTCCTCCCAAAGAGCCATCCCATATGGCAAATAGTATATTTTAAGAGAGAAAAATAAGAGGAAAAATCTCAGCATAACTGATCAATACATTTTAAAAGTCTGCAAATATGTGCAGTATAAAATACCAAAGACCTCTCACCTCTGTAGAGGGGAGTGGGATTACCTTCTCTTTGAGCCATGCTTGTTCTTGATAATTTTGCAACATTAATTTTTAATTGTTTTGTAGTTTTTTCATTTGCATTGCTGCAATTACTGTGTATGTTGATCTCTTGACTCTGCTAACTTCACTCTGCATCAGTTCATGTAGGTCTTTCCATGCTTCTCTGTATTTGTCACACACATCATTACTTGCAGCACAAGAATATTCCATTGCATTCATGTGCCACAGTTTGTTTTCCCATTCCCCAGATTAACAGGCATTGACTTTGCTTACAATTCTTTGCTGTCACACACACACACACACACACACACACACACACACACACATATGTTGCTATAGATATTTTGGTGTCTATGGGGACATTCTTCTTCTCATTGCCCTCTTTAGGATGTAAGCCTCAGAACAGACTCTCTTGGTTAAAAGAATAAGTACTTGTTGAATTAAGCAAGGTATTTCTGATAACCAGGAGAATCAGAAGCCTGAAGAGGCAAGTATTGTCATGAGTTTTTTCAGCTGTTGTTAAAACTCTTTCTTGCTTTAGGTCCGTGCTAATTTATGAAGCAGGGCAGCTAGGGGGGCACAGTGGATAGAGTGCCTGGCCTGGAGGGAGGAAGACCTGAGTTCAAATTTGACCTTAAGACACTTACTAGCTGTGTGACCCTGGGCAAGTCACTTAACCCTATTTACCTCAGTTTCCTCATCAATAAAATGATCTGGAGAAGGAAATAGCAAACCATTCTAGTATCTTTGCCACGAAAACCCCAGATGGGGTCACAAAGAGGTGGACCCAACTGAAAAACAGCAACTATTTATAAAGCATTCTATATGTCTTTTCATCATTATAGAGGCAGCTGGTGGCTCAGTGGATAGAATGCTGGGCTTGGAGTCAGGAAGACCTGAGTTCAAATTTGGACTCAGACACTTACTAGCTGTGTGACCCTGGGCAAGACAAGAAACCTCTTCCTTCATTTCCTTAACTGTACAGTGGGGATAGTAAGAGCACCTGTCTTTCGGGGTTGATGTGAGGATCAAATGAGATAGTATTTGTGAAAGTGCTAAGCTCAGTGTCTGGTACATAGTAGACACTATGTAAATGCTTGTTTCTTCCCTCCCCTTGTTAGCAACTTTCTGCTTTGTTCTAAGTGGCCATTCTCAGGAATAGGGGTTCACATTCTGAGGGGAAGGCAAAGGAAGGGAAAGAAGTATTCATTAAGTGCCTCCTGTGCGCCAGATACTGCACTAAAGGCTTCACAAATACCATCTCTACACAAATGCTTGTGATCTGTTTTTATAAAATAGAAATATTAGCTGCTATCAAGTTGTGTGACTCATTTCTAAAAATCCAGGACATGGACATAAGAATGAGCGTTGTAGCTGCATCGAGGAGTCCCATGAGGGCCTGTGCACTCGTTTCAAGGGTGTTGGCATAGTATTTTTGGAACCAGCTTTGGGAGTTGCCTTTGGAGCCCAATGCATATTCTTTTGAATTGTCTCGGTCTTAGTAAACATTTGTGTTTCGAAGACGGTTTTGCTTTTTGAGAACAACCAAAAGTCATCGGAGCCAAGTTTGGTGATGAAGATGAGTGACGTCCTTCGGTGACTGTTGATGAGATTGAGACTGCTGTCCTCATCTGTCAGTCAGTAGGTCTTTATTAAGCGCCAGCTGTGTGCTGGGCACTAGGGATGCAGATACAATGAATGAAACAATCCCTGTTCACAAGGAGCCCACGTCGTCACGTCATCTGTAAACTGATTCTGAAGACACTTTGCAAAGAGGAGCTGTGAGCAGTGTGGTTCGAGCCATTGCTGGATCAGTGTGTAACTTAGTAGCAGCTAGAGCACCAGACCTGGAGTTAGGAAGACCTGAATTCAAATCTGGCCTCAGACACTCACGATCTGTGGCAAATCATGTAACCTGTGTCTACCTCAGTTTCATCAGCTATGAAATGGGAATGATCCTAGCACCTACCCTCCACAGTTGTTAGGAGGATAAAATGAGATAATTGTAAAGAGCTTAGCATAGTGCCTGTCACATAGTAGGCACTTAATAAATCCCTTCCCAACTGTCAGAATCTCTGTTCAGTTAAAAGGACATTGGCCTTGCAGCCAGGCAGTGGATGAAAATGTGTGTGTGGCTTCAGACCCTAGCTAGCTGTATGACCATGGTCGAATCTCCTATCCTTCTGAGCATCTGGTTCTGTCACTCTGAAATGGAGGTCATCCTTGTGTAGTTTATACTTCACAGGGCTACTCTGCAGAAAGAAAGTACATTGTTAATCCCAAAGAGCTATAGACACATGAGATGGCAGTAGTAATGGGGGGGTGGGAGGGGTGGAATGTTCAGATGTATAAGTTCTATTTTTTTTTCACATTACTTTGTCGGACCTCTTATCTCCACATTGCTTGTAATATGAAAATTGATTGGCAATAGCTGTTTTTAAAAACTTTTCAAGATCTAGCCTTTGCTAGATTAATCAGATTATTACATATATTTAACTTAATTATAATAATGCAAATTTTACTTTTTTCTCTTCTCTCAGGCACTACCATCAATCCAGATCCCAGTATCTCCACACATATATACCAGCATTAGCTGGGCTGCTGCCACTTCTACTATCCCATCCCTTTCTCCGGTAAGTCCCGTTGTGGTTCTAAGGCAACTTTCAGATACCTGGAAGATGGGAGAGAGGGTGGTGATGTCTCGGGCACAGATAACGCCTACTCCTTTCTTCTGTGACGTGACTTCTGGAAAGATCACCCTGTCTGTCTGCCCTGTGTTCATCCCCAGTGGAACCAAAGACTCTATAGGAGTTTATTGTTGAGAAAATCTTTGGATTAGATTTGGTGTTAGTGAACTCCTTTGGCCCCAGTTGACATCAGTGGAACTAAACTGGGCCTGTGGGTGCCAGTGGCTGACCTAAGTTGCAGGTGGCAACATGGCTAAATGTACCAAGAAGTTTGGAGTTGTTGGTAAATATGGAACACATAATGGTGCATCCCTCAGAAAAATGGTGAAGAAAGTAGAAAATGTAGGGTTAGTTGTCAGGAGGGGAGAATAAAGAAAGAAGAAAAAGGAAGTGGAAGGAAGAAGTTAGAAAAGAAAATAATGACTGACATTTATATAGTGTGTTAAAATTTGCAACATGCTTTTTATTCATTTTTTCATTTGAGCCTCATAATAACATTTGAGAAAAGAGACTGAAGGAAAAAAGTGGGTATATATGGCAAAGAAGAATAGAAGAGGGGCCCACCTGTTGCGCCACTCCCCGCCAGAGTATGTTGCCTACAGGGCTGAAGAGGGAGAATACAATGGCACCTGTGCCATCCGTTACCTAATTTAAGAGTAAAACGAATCTTCTTAGTTGGCAATATTAATTTAGCTTGTGTGTGAGCGCTCAGCTCATTCCAGACAGACGACTCTAATCCTCTAGGGAAGGTTAGTACGCATCAGCAGATCCTAAGAGGAGAGCTAGCAGAGAGATCAGTTTCGCCATATCTCAAATAAGGAGGTGGACCACTAAACAGTCTCTAGAGAGAGCAGTTCAGGACCTAGCCAGTTCAAATGATAGCCGAGGGCAGGCTCTCCCTCTGCCAATCCTGGACTCTCTGTCTGTCTGTTCGGTGGCATGTAAAGTAGGGCTCCTTCACCTAGGGACTGTGGATAGATTTCAGTGGGTCTGAATTTGGATGAGGGGGGAAATTACATCACTGCGATTTTCACTATGATTTCCTTTATAATCCAGTCATTTCCTTTTATGCATTTAAAAATATTATTCTGAGAATGGGTCCATTGGCTTCACCAGAGTACCAAAGGGATCTATAGTACACAAAGGGTTAAAAGCCCTTGGTTTAAAGGAATGCACCTCCTTTTCACTCATCGCACGCTTGATTCCACAGAATTCTTTTCCAGCTAGTCTCCCTTCATCTTGAATATCCTCTCTAAGATATTCTCTTTCACACCATACAAAGAGATTAATATTTAGCACCCAGGACATGGTGTGGGTTCAGTAAGTATTGCTTGTTGTTTGAGAGTGTTAGCTAGGTATACATATTACTTTTATACCTTCCTTACCTGGTGTGCATCTTTTTTCTTGTGTACAGGTCCGGAGCCGGTCACTAAGCTTCAGTGAACCCCAGCAGCCACCACCTACGTTGAAATCCCACCTGATTGTCACATCACCACCCCGATCACAGAGCAGCACCAGGTGAGACTCCTGTAGTGACCCACCCTTATTTCCTGCCATCTCAGCTTTTGGAAGATTTTAGTATGGGTAGACTCTAAATACACAGAAATAAGGTCAGTAATAGCCATTCCTCTGGAGTACCCTATAGATGGAGGACCTGATTAAGAACTTAATGATGGAAGACTCTTTTGTAACACCCCCGCTACCCCCACCCTCATGCCTGTCATCCAGTTACCCAATTTAGATGGAATTTCCCAGCCATCTGGGTTTATCTTTTGACTTATCCCATTGCCTGACCTTTACTATTTATATAGCGTTTCCCTTGGCCAGTCCCACAGTGGGTCAGTCAGTGTGAATCAACAGGCATTTCTTTTTTTTGGCTAGGCAGTGGGGTTAAGTGACTTGCCCAGGATCACACAGCTGATGAGTGTTATGTGTCTGAGGCCGAGTTTGGACTCAGCTCCTCCTGACTCCGGGGCTGGTGCTCTATCCACTGTGCCAACTAGCTGCCCCCAACAGTCATTTCTTAAGTGCCCACTGTGCATACTAGGTTAGGTACAAATACAAAGAATGAAACATTCCCTGTTTTCATGGTACTTACATTCAAAATATAAAAATATGCACAGCATCAATATTAAAAGAAAAGAAATATATCCAAAGTAGTTAAATACAAAGTAGTTTGTAAGTCAAGTCATCACGCATTTATTGGGGAGGGCGCCGACTAGCAGTTGAGGGATTAGGAAAGGGTTCATGCAGATAATGGGCTTATGCTGCATCTGGATCACAGATGCCTGTTTTTCTCTGCTCCCGTTTCTCTCATACAGGAAAGCCCGTGGAGAAGCCAAGAAGTGCCGTAAGGTATATGGCATTGAGCACCGGGACCAGTGGTGCACAGCTTGTCGGTGGAAAAAGGCCTGTCAGCGATTCCTGGATTGAACTTGTTGAACCTGCTTGACTTCTTACTTCCCTGCTCCCAGAGCCCACCCCGCCCCAGGCCCTGACTTGGTAGCCCAGAGGAGGAAGTGATGCAACAGTGTCTCCTGAGCCTCCAGCAGTGACCTAAAGATTCAAGTTCAGATTTTGAGTGTGGGATGTATTGGTCAAGGTTTAACTGGGTTTTTTCCCTTTCGTTCTTCTTTTTTTTGTTGTTGGGATGCTTTATTTTGTTTTTGGAAATACAAAGGAAATGAGAGAATTTTTCCTTCCTATTGGTCACAGAAAACAGGAGAAAGCCAGAGCCAATGATTTGTGTGCTCTGTAGTGACCCAGAGACCAAAGAATTATTTTCTTTATTCCTTCTCTTATTTTTCTCTCATCCGGGGCAAGTTCTTCTGACGCTCTTGGAAGGAGCAGCTCTGTAGGTATTGCTGCTGAGTCGGCAAATTCTCTCAGAAATCTTCTTAGAGGGACTGCTTGGTGCCCAGGAGAGGCAGAAGAAATTGTTTAAAAAGTGGCTTCATTGGTCACATGAAGACAGGAGGTACTGATGCTGATAGAGATGGAAAGTCAAGAGATTTGACCAAGTACATCTTTGATCCATCTGACTTCAGGAGAAGGAAAGATTGATCCTTTTTCAACAAACAGCATCCATGGAAGTGAAAGGACATTTTATCTTTTAGTAATACATTTGTTCAAGCTATTTTAATCTGGGTTCTTCTAGACATTGGCTTTCACCCCCAGCCATCTCATTTGGTTTTTTAAAGCCCAGCCTAATGGATTTTTAAGAGTCTCCAAACCAAGCTATGCCAGAGGGTAATAGTGACCTCCCACATTTCAAAGGGTGAATCAACATGGCTTTGAGCATTTAAGTGTTTTTTTTTCAATTTCAATGAGGAAATGCTGGAGGTTGTCACAGCCTCCCCAGAAACCTCTGCTGCCACCCAAAGTGAAATCCTTTCATCTTTTACCCCTCTCGTCATAGAAATATGTCACATTAAAAACAACAAAAAAACCTCTTTGGGGTTTTTTTCTTATGTTTTATCTTTCTAACCTGTTTTTTCCTTATTGGTCTTTAAGAGATCATAGTAGGTTCTTCAACCTCTCCCATTCTCATTGTGGACAGTCTTTCCCCCTCACACCCCTCCCCCAGCTGCTGGAGGTGTGACTGGTTATGGGGGCAGAGGGTTTGGGGGAGATTAGGTGAAGGGAATAGATGATGATAGGTGGCAGCTTGGGAATGGAGAAGGAAGCTGAGGGATCCCAAATTCTACTCTTGTCTAATTTGCCTCTCTGAGAAAGGATAGTTCTGATGTCCGATGTGAGCATCCCATGAACTCCCAAGCTGGGACAGTAAAGTTCTAGATTCTGTTATCTGTGCTTTGTCGAGGCCATATGGAGGCATGGGGCCAGTCTTGGCATACCACCCTTGAAAATGACAAAGTCCCAGTTTCTAAGCTGATGGCAAAGTAGGGTGGGATGTGGGATAAAGGGAGTTCTAAGGGATGTGGGATGCAAGTTGCAGGACTCATATGAAGGCCGTGTGGGATGGACCTAGGGACCACTGGAATATAAGTTCTGTAAAGGTCTTTGGGGACCAGAACCCTTAGCTGCAGTGCCTTGCTTCTAGAGGTAGATGAGCAGAAATGATGTATTTGTATCTAAGATTAGGCGTCAGGAGCTTGGGTCACTTGGAGAATCTGATAATGACCTGGCAGAGACATGGCCTGAGGGGGCTAAGGAAATAAGGCACAGTTCTTGTGTTCCTCTCAGTTCCTACCTTCCTTCTACTTTGTGGCAACCTATTTGACAAAGCCCAGATGATAAGCATGCAGTGTTCTCTGGAGCCCATGTGAACAGGCCACTCAGTGCCTAGTTGCCTTAGGAGGAAACCTGGATGTACATTATAGAAGGCTGAAACTCAGGGAACCACACCGAGCCACCTCAGCTGGGACCTTGTCAGAGCAGTGCCTGCCCCAGGTTCTAGGCTGAGTTCTTACATCCCTACAAAAACCCAGCCACCAAAGTTCATTTACTAACTTAAGTGAGCTATCTGAAAGTGGGAGTTTTGGTTAAATTTTCTCCTAACAAAGCAAAACTGCAAATGTAGCCATAGCATGATACTATGACTCATCCAAGCAAGCTGGACTGGGGTGATAAGGAGGGAGAGAGGAAATAAGAGAAAACTGCCTTATGGCAGTGCAATATATTTTTGTAACTTTATAAAATGCTTCTAAGTTGGAATTCTTGTTCCTGGTCAAGCTAGAAACTAGGCCAGGAAAAAAAAAAGGGCCGCTTTCTTTCTCCCATGTGTCTGTCCTGGGTCAAAACTGAATTTGAGTCCAGAATAAAACTTTACCTAACTTCCGTGCTTCTATTTCCTCCATGTATGAGAAGAAAGTCATCCTTGCTTTTGTACCCTGATCATCTGTCAAATCCCCCCTGAGGCAGAAGGATCATTCTGAGAAGTGAGAAGAGGTGGACCAACCTTCTCTTCTTCTGAGGCCAAAATGGTCACTAGGCCTTTCCTCCAAGATATCTTTGATTTCAAAAAAAAAGTTGCTTCTCAGGGCCTGGAGAGTTATAGACTAGTTAGGTGTGAACGTTTCCCTTGGTGAGTTATCCTTCCAGTGATGTTGGTACAGCAGAAAAAATGGGAGGCAGAAGAAGAAGACAGTCATGGAACCCAAAGGATAAACATCCTAATGATTTTCAGTTCAGCTACTCCGTATGCTTCCTTTACTTCTTGTCTCACTTGGTGGTGGTGGGTCTCCCTCCTGCCCTGTCTGTCCTCAGTTGTGCCTCCGTTCTCTTGCTGTCGGGTTGGTTCTTAATGTTTGGTTTGTCCTTGAGGTCAAAACAAATCTTAATTATTTCTCCTCTTTGGGGGTGGTTTGTGAGTTGATCAAGTCCCAGAAATCCTATTTGCCTTCATCTTTCTCTCTCTCCACTTCTCAGCCTCTCCAGGTGATGGATTCTGATTGTTGGAAGACAGGGTAGAAAGAACACTTCTGAGTAGAAGGCCGCTAAGCACTTCTTGAGTGTATGAGGTGTGACATGGAATAATGTTGCTTTAAAAAAAACAAAACTTAAATAAATGTTCAAGTGAACTCCTCTTCAAAGGAGTTACCCTAAGAAGTGATGCACTTATTCCAATGCTGCCATTCAAAACATTTTTGGAACAAAATTCTCCCCCCCCCTTTTTTTTTGTGCCAGTCTTCAGACCCTCCATTCTTTTGAATATCAGCAGTGGTGATAAATCCTTTCAATTTGTGAGCATATTAGATTAAGAAAACAGACAAAAGGCATTAAGAACCAGTCCTGGAAAAGAAATTGGGTTATCAGGCTAGGTGATAGTATGTTTAAAAACAAGGTGTGATTATAAGGTAATGAAAACGGAGAGAGAGGGAAAGAAAGTGTGGTTCATTAATGCTCTTTGGAGACTTCTTTTTGTCTTCACTTTTTTTTAAACTGATTTTTTTTTAATATCTTTTGTTTTTATATCTATATTTCCCAGTGTATCCCTCAGCCCTACTACTTCTGAGAGCCATCTTTTATAATGAAGAATAAAAAAGAAGGGGGCAGAAAAATTCAGCAAAACTTACCAGTACATTAAAAAAGTTCGATATTGTCTGTAATGTCCCATACCTGTGGTCCCCTGTTTCTGCCAGTTGGAGACAGTTCTCAAGGAGAAATTCCAAAGCTGTTTTGAGGAGTGGCAACATCATTGAAATGAGTGTGTAGCCTCCCAATTAAGGAGAACACTCTTTGGATGCATGAGCTGTGGTCTGTTTAAATAGTCCACCTCATTCTTTTATAGTCACACTTTGTAAAATCATTAATACCATCCTAGGGAATGGCTATTTACTAGGGGCAAGGAAGAGAAAAGGGGGATAAATGCTGGATCTGTGAATTTGTCTTACTGGAGCTTTTTCCCCTTCCCAGCTGTCTTCCAAGTATTATTTTTATTGTTAAAAAAATTTTTAAATGTGAAATGTAATGTTTTTACTGCAGCAATATGAAATATATTTTATAAGGAATAAAATGGAACATTGGCTGATTTCCTTTGTGCTAATTTTTCTCCTGTCACCCACAAAAATGTTGATGGTCACTGGCATTGGACTGACCAGTGGGAGTCCTTCCCCAGCAGAATTTATGTACTTTTCTTAAGATGGAAATGATTTGGGTCAAATCCTCTGCACTCTCTTAGTCATGTTGCTGTATTTCTTGGCACCTAGACCTAGTAATGGACAAATGTAAAATACAGCAATTGGGGAAAATAATCTCTTGTGGGCAGTTAGGTGGTTTAGTGGACAAAGCCTGGAGTCAGGAACACACATCATCTGGAGTTCAAATCTGTCCTCAGACATGTGTTAGCTGTATGACCTGGGCAAGTCACTTAACCCTGTTGACCTCCATTTCCTATCTGTAAAATGAGCTGGAGAAGGAAATGGCCAACTGTTCCAGCATCTTTACCAGGAAAACCCCAAATGGGGTCATGAAGAGTCAGACGCTACTAAAAATGCCTCAACAACTACAACAATCTATGCTTTTGGAGGCTATAGCAAGTCAGAGAAGCTTTGGTCTGTATTGGTAGGAGTACCCACACCAACAAAGTTGCAGATCCTCAAAATACTGAGTAGATCAACTTTCTAGGATTATTTGTTCTAAGCTGTCAAATCATGGCTCAGTAAAGGGAACTTGGGAAGGACTGTAGACTTTTTGCTGAGGACATCCCAAGTACTGCTGTGGTCAAATTTTAATTTGCAAAGAGCTTTCTAAGTCAGGAAGCTTCCCTTATACAAATCAACACTTAACCCTGTGATTTACAGTCTTAGTTGCCTACAGCACCTGGAGGTTCTGATTTGGCCCAGAGTCACACAATCAATATGTATGAGTACTTGAACCCATCTTCCTGTCTCAGGCCAGCTCTATCCAGTCTTCAGTGGTCCCAAAGGCCAGAAACATGCTGGTTATTGGAAACAAATACCCTTGTTGGAAAGTTGGAAATAGAAAAGAAGGCGTTATTCTTGTCTGCCCTTAAGACACTCATGGTATACTTGCAGTTACTACATATTGAGACTGACCAAAGGAAACTGAAGAACTTTGAAGGTACAACTGAAATAGTAAGAGTATGTAATGTAAGAGACCAATAGAGATGCCGTTGTGCAGATAGTGATTAAGCTTGTTCTGTTCAAGATGTTGACTTTAAAATGCTAACTAGAGGAAAAGTTTGGGTCCTTTAAGAAAAGCTTCTTAAAAATAGAATCGATGGAAGCATTCAGGATTTCCAAAGTCCAGACTTGTTGCCTATATTTTAATAGGCATTTTTATGTATAGGAGGAATAAGAGACTGAATTAGTCACAGAGCCATGCTAGGTACATGGCTTTCAAGAGAGATCAAGTAAACCAGAGAGCAAGAACTTTTGGAAACAAGAAGATAAAACTCCCATGAGAAACTGGTCCAAGGGTTTGTTAATGGAGTTGGGCAAGGACAATAAATGACTGCTAGGAATATTTAAAGCAGCTAATACAAACCGAGAAGCAGCAAGCAGATCTAACACATTTTCCACTGGCTACTCTGTAGTTCTGAAGTGAGAATGGCTTCTGTTACTGAGGGGAAAAAAAAATTTAAATTTGCAGCCCAAGTTTAAGTTAGTAGCTGTTAATGGGAAAAGAAGTGGGAAAAAGAGTGAGAAGGTATTAACGTGACTAGATGTTAATATTTCTTCAAATCTTGCTCCAAAATGGCATTTTCCCCTTAAACTTGGTAAATAAGTTGATTGTGCAAAAACAGTAATAGTTTAGTAACAAAAAAAACACAAAACCAGTAAGACATTTTTTATTTTTATCTATGATTTTGTGTCATTTATGTAAAAGATAAATTCTAATAGTACATGAACCCAGTCACCTAACTAGACCATGAGTCTGATCCAGGAACATTTTTTGTTTTTCTGAAGATCTTTAGGGTTAGACTAGGTATGGGATTCATGTCTAGAGAACGAGTCACATTTAAAA